TATGTAGCTGAGAAGATTGATAAAGAAAGTGCTAGAAGGGAAAAATAATATCCTCTGCAGCCTCAGCAGTGCTGCAAAGAGGCACAGTAAGAGCCACAGGCAGGCAGGAAGCAACGAAAGCTGCTTTATGTGATGCTGCTGGATTTGCAAAACTCCAGGGGTTGTAAACTTGTAATTTGGAGCCATTCTCAACTAAGCTTTGCGGTAGTGTAAGGACAGAAGGCTGAACTGGAGGAAAATGCGGAGGAGCCTGGCTGATGGTGGATTGCTAACAAATATTCTGATACCTTCACTCCTGTTCTGTAAGGGATGCAGGCGTGTTTCAGATGACTTGCTGCTGTATGTATCCCACTGCACTCCGAATTTAAAGAGCAGGAGGAAACTACAGCTGCAGCTGTGTGACCATGGAGAATCTTGACTGCTGTTGTATGTAGTATTTACTTAAGGGGCTGTTGGGAAGATTCTCTTTCAAAGGTTCTCAATTCTGTCCTTTTTTTTCCTAGCTCTCTGAACTCCTGTATGGTAGGTTTCCTTCAAGTTGTCCGCAGGAATGACCCAGAATACATGGGTCATCTATTGCCCCTTAATTCCAGATTAGTGAGCCCTCTGGCCCTCACCTGAAGTAGCGTTTGCCTGCTGATAAAAGGAACGGTTGCAATAAAGTCACCTGGGATTTAACGAAGGTACACAGTTGAGGAGTTGAAGTGCCTTTGGGATTGGGTCCCTGTGCTCAGAACATGGAAGCCCAAGGTCTTGGGAGGCATCATTAGAATCTTAGAAGAACGGAAAAAACCTTTCCAATGTTGCACGCTTCTTTCACACAAGCTGTAGAAATGCCTCCTGCCTTTTATGCCCTTTTACTGTATGGAGTCTGGTACAAAATATCTCCTTTTTTCTGATGCCTCAGCCACTTCCATGGTTGATGTACTCTGTCCAGTTGACTCATCACTGTGTATGTTTTCTTGACTTCTAATTAAAATCTGTTCTGTTCTAATATTAGACCAACACTCCTTGTTATATCACCCTTCATTCTTAAGTAATTCATCTTGCAACCTCCTTACTCTGTATGACTAATGTCTTTCTCAAATATTCTTAGAACATTTTAAAATACCATCTATATTATAAGCAGCACAGTAGCAATACCTCTTGTTACGATTGCTTAACACTTTCTGTCATAACTCAGTGCTTTCTTTTGCTTAGGATTTTGACAAGACTTTAACCTTTTTGGCTGGAATTTTCCATGCATTGGTGTTTGGCTCAGTCTGAAATTTCCACTTCAGACTGAGATTTCTTTTTGTTTGCTGAAAATATAATCTGTATTTCATAGACAATGTAACTTCTAAATCAACTTCTGTTAGGTTCTCTTGCAGTAGAGATGGATTTTTATTTTTAAAGGATCCCTAGGCAGATATGTTCTGCAGAGAAGTAGGAATGATCAACCTAGCAGAAGGCTGAGGATAGGAGGGGGGAATGCTCACCACAGGAGCGGGTCTGGGAAATGAGTTTCTGCTGATTAGAAGTGAGAACTAAATTGATGAGAACCAAGGAAGGAATTGGTTGCTTACCTCATAGTTGGGCATTCAAGAAGTTCTGCCTAAAAGCAAAAAATCAATGTATCTGTTCTAAAAATTGTAATAGATACTCTCCATGTTTGCCTACCAATAACCACCTGAAACTTGTTTCTCTCCGTGGCAAAATAGGACAAAGCAGAATTATTACAGTTATTTCTGTTTTGTAAACAGTGTGGGTGACTTATTCTTGCCTAAAGGCTCTGTTTGGTGTTGTATGTATAAGTATTTCTATGCTTGCTCGTCCAGTTAAAGAAAATGGAATTTGTGCATGGGAGGTGTTCTGCTGTAGCTAAGCACTCCTGCTGTCTGTTTCCAGTCCTTCCAATATACTTGTGCTCTTTATTTCCACCAAATTTGCTGGAATGATTTGCAGTAATAGAGGTGAGTATATTTCAAGGCTTTTAAAAGGCCGAGAAGGAGTGAAACTACCAGGATCATAACGATTGCAGTTCTGTTGCTTACATTTAAACTTGTTTGAGAATTCAGTGTAGCACCTCAAAAACTGATAGAATAATAGAATTGCAGAAAACCATAAGGGGACTGATTTTATATATATATGTGTGTGTGTGTGTCTGTGTGTGTATATATATATATGAGAGAGAGAGACAATACAGTTGGGGAAAAAAAGACCAACTTATACAGGCACATGGGGGACATACCAGGTGAAGGGCATTTTTCCAGTCATTGCTGGTAAAGATACACTAAACAGTTGCTGGCAACTGTAGTTAGACAACTTAATCTTGCTGAGAAGAGAGATGGTTTCTGAAAAGTAAAAACAAATGTGGAGAGAGAATCTTGTGGCAAGTGATGTACACGCTAGCCCTTGATTCATAAGGGAGGTTACAGGTGAGGTTTAGTCTGGCTTCAGCGTGGGTGCTCGTGGTGTTTTGCTCTGATCCCGCAGTTGGCTGTGGACCACCACGCTTCTTTGCACCTTTCACAGGCCCTTGGCAGAGGGGAGCAGAATTGCCTCCTTTGCACAGAACTTCGTCTAGCAACTCTTGGGTAAGGCAGTGATCATGCCTGCTGGTTCCTGGTATCTGCTGGTGGCCTGCAGTGCAGGAAAATGATTTTCTTAGTGAGTCACTGCTCAAATGTGTCTTGGGATTTAGGTGACTGCCTTCTGAATCCACAGACGCCAGCAGCAGATGACTTCAGAGAAGGTGGAACAATGCTCTGTGATGATGCAAAAGATCTTTTTTATTTCATGAGTGGCTGGAGTTTCTCTGTGTGTCTGGGTCCAGCTGGAAACCCGATTTTCTTTTGGGAAAGCTTTTTCCCCAAGAGTCAGACTTGAGAGGGACCTCTACAAGATAGTGCTGTCATCTGCATGGCGGGATCTGGGTGTGTCATCAAATGCATGTCTTGCCTTTCAAGGGGCACTGCAGGTTGCTGACGTTTTTCCCTGCTGCACTAACTGCATTTGGCTTCTGAGAGTTGAAATGTTTTATTTGAACTGTGGTCTTTGGGGTCAATGCAGCAATGTCTGGGTAGGGCTTGAGAGCCTGTATCACGTTAACAGTCAAAATAGATGCTACAGAAGCTCTTTCTGGCTTTAAATTCTATAAAATTCAGCTTCAGTTCCTGTAGTTAGTACAAAATAGAGCAGCTTGCTGGGTCTGCTTCTGGTCTGCTTGCAGGGTCCTGAATAGGTGCAGTAATCTGGTCTGATGGAAAAGCTTCTGAGGCTCAGTTTGCATTTGCAGTAGAACTTATTGATAAAGGAGCGTTTTTGCAACATTTCTGCAGCAGCAGATATTTTTTAGCAGAGATCCATACAAATTGCAAAATACACTACTGGCAAAGCAAGCATTTTTAAACTACAAACTGTTTTTCTAATCTCTGTAGGATATACTGGCTTTTTTCTTAATGAAAACTGTTTTAATGCTTTAACCTAACAAAATGCAGCCACTGTGCTAAAAGACCTTTCATGTATTGAAAGAAGTATCTGACTGGTTTCAGCTTTTCCCTGAAGTACGAGGCATCTCCAAAGGCAGAAAATCCTCGTGCCCTTGAAAGAAAAGGACAACTAATTTTATCCCTTAATTATTTCAGGGGAAGCAGTTATCAGTGAACTGAGAGAATGAATCTGAAAAAAGTTTCAGAGATCTGTGTAAAAGATACCACTGCTAGCAGATTTCCAGGGAAGATGCATGTTACTTGTTCTGTATTTAAATACACCAAGTTAGAGATTTCCAGTTTGAGATGCATTATCAATTTAAAGCCCCCCAACCATCAGTGACTAGCTGTGTCCCCTCCAGGACAGTTTAACAGCAACCAAAAGAAAAGGGAGGTGTTTAGGTTCCCAAAGGTTTGTGCTGTGGCATGCTAGGAAGACCCTTAGCTGTTGTGTTTGGGCACTCTGCACATCCACACTGACTTACAAGGGGAGAAGTGAATGTTACAGCTGGCTTACTTGGCTTCTCACAGATATGAGGAAAATAAGATCATTTAGCTTGATAATTTCAGTTCTGGAGAGAAGTTTAATGCTTGGCTGAAGCTCACGCATCACTCAGGGTCATCGCAGGCTTCCTTCTGGGCTGTAACATGGGTTGCTACTTCTAGTCAACAGCCAGCTGAGAACACCCAGTTGATGCTGTGTTTGTGTAACTCGGTAAGGAAATCAAGCTGGCACTTAGCATGATTTTTTTTTTTTGGGGGGGGGGAGGAGGAACAGAAGGTAAAAAGCGTTTCTTTATGGATATTGTTCGTGCTGGAGGCTGGACTTGTGGGTGTCAGTCCTACAGCAGTGAGCACCTTTATAATCTGGAGAGGAGAATGGTCCAAGTACTGCTGACTTCATTTTAAGCTGTTTTTCCTGTAGGAACAAACCAGTGCATTTCCAGTGCTTAATGACATCCGTGGTGGTGTTCCTGACTAACTAGTTGCTGTCCTGAGGGCTGTTTGTTTGCCAGCAGAAGTTGTTACAGAAGGCAGCTTCTGTTGGGAAAACGTCAAACGTTAAATGCAGGACATGGGATGGACATCTCTAAGGCAAATACTGGGAACAGAGAAGAATCTCGTACCTTTCAGAATGAGCTGCTCTGTCTGTGCTGCTGTCAAGCTAGAAACATGCCCTTTATATAAATAATGTGTATTATTGCATGCAGTATATGTGGGTTACACAGCTTTACTGATGTGGTTTCATCTACAGCCCAGGCCACCCTGCAGATGGCCTTTTTGTTAGGAAGTTAACGAGGCTGAAGAAACTGAATTAAAGGACATCTTAATGTGTCCTCAGGTAGTTTTAGTATACTTTTCCTTATGCTCCCAGAAGCAAAGAATTTTTCGTTTAAGAAGTGAGTAAATTTTCACTTCTTGAAGCTTTAGATAAGATGCATTAAGAAGTGGTGGTCTAGTTTTGAAATAGCATCCAGATGTTCCAAGAACCTAGTGGATAACTAATCTTGAAATGTGTTTTGCATTTAGAAACTGGGAAGGTGTTCACCTGGGGCAGAGCAGACTATGGGCAACTTGGAAGACCCACGGTGGTTCCTGACAGGCAGGAGGCGAGCACAGCGTCTGAACAACACTTGGAGCTGTTGTGTAACGTCCCAATTTCCGTGCCTTGCCTAAATGGAGCATCTCAGGTAATGAAGGAAATTATCATTTTTCCAGTTTTTTTTTCTTGGGTGCATTAAGATAATCAGAACAATTTCCTAATAGAAACCTCTCAAATGCTGCAGCACAAGCCCTTGCTGCTCTTCCTGTAAGCTCAGAAGTTAATCTGATTCAATTATTTCAAATTTCTTAAAAGGCTTTTGCATTAAGAAACTGATTTTTTCCATGGTGGAACCAGATTTACCGTTAGCAAAAGATGCCAAATTCCTTCAGATCTAAATGCATACAGGAGATAGCCGCAACTTTAATAAAGTCTAGCAGATGAGGTGGGACCTTGTCGCGTTAAGGGGTGTAGCTGATTAACTGTTATGGGCCCGGTCGGATTCAGGGTATTGAACCAGTCGGACATTCACCAACAACGCGTTAACCGTCTGGGGGTCTGGTTGGATTCAGAACACTGAACAATCACGGATAACCACCCTCACCCTAGTTGCACTTAATGAGAGCTATCACAATGCAATCAATTATGGTTTATTACAGCAACAGATAATCAGGTTCTTTTGGATTGCCAGCGATAGTGACTGTCTGCAAAAGCAAGCTAGTATGCATGAAATACACAGGTGTTGCAGGTGCATGGCCTAGAAATAAATGCGTTAAAAGGATCAAAGACTCTAGAGAGATTTATAAGCAAGTATTCAGATCTCACCCAAAGGCGTCCCAATGGGGGGGGAAGAGAGGCTCAGCCCGTCGACTGATCCCAGGAGTCAGGAGGTCCTAAGGATGTTGTATTTCCTCGGGATGGTATCTCCCCTGACGGTGGTATCTTCCCTAACATCCCCCTCTCTCTTAGGCCAATTTATATTATTTTCTATCTTTTAGGTGGAGCTTGAGTGGCTCTAGTCAAGCATATCTTAGTTATGATTGGTGTAAAGTTTTCCCATCTCCGTTTAAAATAATAGGCTCCGAGAAATTAAGGGCGCATGCTCAGTGAGGGGTGGTCGCACCTTGGAGGCGGGTAGCTTTTGGGATGGAGGTGTGTTTTGGTATTATAATGATATTATAATGAGCAAAAAGTACACTAGGGTACAGCATTTGTCAAAACATGACAGGTCTTTGGCTCAGGGTGGCAAAAAGTGCAGCTTTGTGCACAAGAACAATCGAGGCCCCACCTGATTACAGAGCCTAGCCGTGGTGTCTCCACTCCACTCCACGCTCCGTGGTGTTCCTTAGAGCTAGCACACCAAGTTTCCCCAGCGCGATAGCATCTAAGGTTGGGAGCCTAGGGAACGCTCAGGTAATGCAGTTATGCCCTACCCTGAAAGCCTCTTCAATGCTGTACCTTTTCCTCAAAAAATGTGAATGTTAGTTGTATTTTCCTAGTTACTTCAAGCAATTACACCACAGACCTTGCCCAGCTGAGGCACTACTTCTGTCTGAAGCCCTCTGTCACAGTTTAGCTAATGGCTTTTCTCTAGCTGATACGTAACATCACAGCTTCTGTCTCAGGCAATCCTGAATATTTCTCTATCCTTGTAATGTCCTTGAGTGGTATTGGAAATTTTCTTTTTATGTGGCTAATTTGAAGCAAAATGATATATCCACAACCACAAAGATGATTAGGAAGAAAACATCACACAAGGACTCGATATTTTTTTCCTTTCGCCTGCAATTTGCAACCCATACTGCTGACAAACTCTACTTTGCCTTGTTCATGTCCAAGAAGCAGCAGGTGGCAATTGGCCTGCTGGAAGGCAACGTGCAGGTCCCATCTGGACAAATGACCAGTTGAAAGGTCTGTGTCTTCCTGTGGGGCAGCTGGCACGTGAGGAGTAGGGAGAGGCTGACAGCTTCAGCTGCAAATATGCGTTGCATCTCAGCCTCTTGATTGTCTTTCACAGAGAGACTTTGGTTAGGAGAGTCAGCCTCTGCCCTTTCCCATCACCTGTGGAAAGTGAAAAGGTGAAAAGTGGAGCCTTAGAGTCCAGGATACTGCAGTAACAAATAACATATTTAGTCGGTGTTGGCTCCAGGGAGTCTCAAACACCCGTCTTCCTTGATTTGAGATGCTTCTCCCTGCTTTTGTCACCGGCTGTTTACAGAGAACACTGGTGTTAAATCTGTTTCGTGCTGTTACTCATTTATGCTTTGGGCAACGCCCAAAGTGTGTAGTCCTGTTGTACAGTACAAAGTCAGGACAGCTGTAGCTTTTGCCCAGGGGAACTTAAGCTTGGCAGGACAAGTGATCCATGAAGGTGAAGGACAGAGATGTAATCAGATATATTCTTTGGAAAGGAAGAGTAAAAACAATCTCATCTTCATTCTGCTGCCCTCAGCGCTGTTCCTTCTTACAGACCTGTGAGAGACCTGATCTGAGTGAATAGCAATGGCAGTGTTCTGGAGCAGGCATCATTCTTTGCAGAGCTAACAGCATGAAGATGATTTAAGAAGTGTGTGATCAGGAGCTAGCATCATTTGTACCCTGAGAGAGAGGAGCTGTGTTGATGAGAAAAGGAAAAATCAGATAATAAGAGCCTAAAGTACTTCAAGGTTACAAAATAATGTCAGTGCTAAAATTTAGACTTAAAGTTGGGTTAAGTTGCAGCACATGGGCTGTGTAAATGAAAACTAGCTCATACTCGACACATGAACTATATTTTTTTCTATTTGTTGCTGTATGGAGATGAGGTTTGATTTAAGAGCTGAATCAAAATGAATACAGAGAGGATGAGTTCTTTTGTGTGTTTACCCTGAATTATCAACTCCAACTTGCACTTCAATACGGAGAGCCAATTTAATAGTTGAGGCTTACAACTAATGACTTTTATCCATGAACAATTTTTATAAATTGTTTTTAATGATTGAACCAAATTTTTGGCCAAGCTGTGGTCTGTTGATTGCCTCTGCACTGGGGTTAATCCTGTTAAAACCAAAAAGGAGAAACTGATCTAAGAATTACAGGGCAATATAAAAGGCACACTAGTTTAAATCTCCTGTGCTGTCCTTTAGGTAACCTCCTGTGCTGTGACTTGTCTCTATCCCCTTGTCTTTCTCCACCAAGGACTGGGGATTCTCCCTTCTTTGTGCTGAAATTGGTATAATGTATAATGTCTGTGTCTGTCTGCCACTCTGAAACTTGTTTTTTGAAGTGTTTTGAGCGACCTATTCTACTGTGAGTTTGCCTTCATCTCAGAAATTCATTTTGAAACGTTGGCATTGATAAATATGAGTGCCTTTTTTTCCTCTTTCAGTTGAAATGGTGGAAGAACAAAATCTCGAATTTAAGATAATTATCTACTAATCTGAGCTGCCACCCTGGCAGCTTTAATTGTATGTGGACATAAGGTTCCTGGAGTCTCACGTGTTTAAACTTTTTGAATTATGAGACTGCAGGCCTATTTATTATTTTTTCTTGGAGCTTTGGTGCATAGCCACAACGGAATGGGATGAGACACTGCAAAGAAACTCGAGGCTGTAGCAGAAGTCAGTTGTGTGAGACATTATGCAGGCAGTGCTCTTGTGTTGTGGGACGTCCTTGATTGGACCTCTTCAGAACATCTGACTCATCTGCTGCCTGATGTGCATTCACATCCACTGCTCTTCAGATGAAAGGACAATTAAATACAAATGGCCTGAAATATGATGAGCCTCTGTATTTAGCAAATGCTACAAAGACCTGGTGTAATGTTTCTTCCTTGTCAAAATGCTTTTCCAAGCCGTTTTGGTATTTTTGGTTTTAATAGCTATCATTTTACTGTTTGTGGTATGTTCAGCATGTCATTCACGTCGCAGCAAACATTTGCTGCAGCAATAAACAAGTGAGAAGTCGTCATTGTGCAGTGCTGAACGTGTCTCACTAAATTGGTGGAAGGAAGGGCTACGGTCATTGTGAATATGCAGCGCTGCGTTCACATGGAGCCATGTTTTCATTGTCTCCTTTCTGTAATTAAAGAAAGCTGTGCTGGATCACAGCTGAGGACAGGGAGATGGAATTTCAGTTAGGAAATCACAAAAAATCGTGTGTCACAGTGTCATTTTTGGGTATGTGATTTCTTGGGCTTAATTCCCTCCTCACTTTCCCTGTCACCAAGCCTGAATGTTGATGATGAATGTAGGGAGCCAGCCGTGTCAGGGAATGAAAATAACTCCTTACCCTGTGGCAACCTGTACCTGCTGTCTTTCTCCTGACCCTGCTGTGCTCTGTACTTCCAGTACGTACATTTGTTGCAGTGTGTCCGCTCATCCTGTGCAGTACTGAGTGGCTTGGATCCTCCAAAGGGTTCCTTTTTTTTCCAAGGAATGCTGTCAGGAGTATGTATGTTTTCTTGGCCCTCTGCAGTCAAAGCAATTTGCTGCTCTTTTCACTGCCTGTTGCAGTAATGTGGTTTGTTGTTTATTTTAAGCCGCTGAAATACACCTCTTGGTATATTCTTGTTTTTTGCTTTTCCTCCCCATTGGAGGAATGGGAGTTCCCATTTCTGTGTTACCACTGCAGACAGAGGGCTTACTTCTTGGGCTGGCTGGTTCTCCCTTGGGTTCTCCCAGGGTGAGGGCTGCCTTCAGTGCCCAAAGCTGCTCTGCCAGGGCTGCGCTGTAGCAGTGAGGTGGCAGCCAGGAGTTGGGCTGCACTGGGATCCATAAGGGAGACCCCGAAGGGCTGATTTCCTACAATGTGGGTGAAGTAGGAGGAGTGACATGGGCATAAGTCAGGAGCTGGAGACCCACACAGCACGTGATCACGGCAGTGATACAAATGTGAGGGTGGGCAAAGGCTTCAGCAACATCATGCATAAATTCGTTTTCCATTGGATTGCCTGGACAGTTAAAGACCACCATTAGTACCCTACTTGGAGTTCTTTAAAACTATCAGGGAAATGGAAAGAGACTGCAGCTACTTGCAGCAGTGACCAATCTAAACTATCTTGCTTGTAACTCTCAGACCTGCATATGCTCGTACTATATTCCTTAAATTAAAATACCGTGTCCCGTCCTTCTGCATCGATTGTGTTACCAACAGTGCACCATGACTGCT